TGGGCAAAAAAAAATGTCTGATGCTCATCTGTGAGTATGTTATATGAGAACAAACCAGATTTGCCATGTGTTTGTCATTAGGGCTTGCTCATATATAAAACCACATATCTGTTGCACTTGCACATCTCTTTTTCCTTTTTTAGGAGTATACTTGAGGTCCCAGAATCAAGCATCCTTAAAAACATAATATTATTTTAATAACAGGCTGTGGCTGCTGTTGATCTGTGTGCTGCTCTGAATCAACCCCAAAGCAAAGCAACCAGCTTGCAGGAGTGTCACAGTGAGGGGCAAGTGAAATTATGGATACCATGACATAATTGTGCAAATGATGGGAATTATGTAAATTGCATAATTTGCCTCATTTGGGTGATGATGTTATAACTCTTCATGACATCATCATGACTCCTAACGGATACCTATGCCCTCTTGAACCAGGCTTCCTGTGAGGCTTTTTCCTGGCAAATGGGACTGGAAGAGATGAACACAAGGATATAAGGAACTTCTGATTTTACTGTTGAGAAGCTAAGAAGCCATTATGGAAGAATTCTGCTGAGTGTTGACAGTCATTATTCAAATTCCTGCATCTCTTTCACCCACCAGCTCTGTAAAGAGCTAGAGGTGCCTCACTTTTGGGTGGAGTGGGAAAAATTTCTATATGTTCCTTGTTTTGGTAATGGCCTATTCTGATACCAGGCAACTTCCTTTGGAGCACATGAGACTAGCTCCCACACCACTATAGCATTTGGCTCTGCCTGGGAAGCAATGTTTGTCTTGAAGCATTCTGCTGAATTGCAACATGAGATGTTTTTACAGGATAATGCCCAATAGATACAGGCATAGATCCAAATTCAGTATTGTCACCATCTCATTAATTTTAGAGAAGCTGTATTTGTCCAAGAACAAGAGTGGCATCTAATCTGTGGTTCAGACATTCTATTCACGTGCATTTAAGAATTCAGCATTTTGCCGAGGTCTTGAAAATGAATAACAATCCAAGAACTGACACGTGCCAGACAATCTGTGTTTGATTTAACTGCACTGAGAGAGAGAGAGAAGAAAGCACTTTTAAAAATGAGGTTATGCGCAGTGTTCTTCTTTCACAGGTTCAGAATATGTCTCAGTCCATTGAAGTTTTAAATCTACGGACTCAGAGGGATTTCCAGTATGTTTTGAGAATGGAAACACAAATGAAAGGACTGAAGGCTAAGTTCCGGCAAATTGAAGATGACCGAAAGACCTTAATGACCAAGCATTTTCAAGTAGGCATTCCCATCTTTTAATTTTTTTAACAATTGTTTTCACTGACTGCCAGAAGTAATATACGACTGAGAAGCAACATGAGGTGGGTTGGATATCAATTTAAAATGCTTGTCAGTAAATGCACGAACACTTGTTTTAAACAGGATGGTCTTCTTACTGTGCTGTTTCACTATGATGGGAAGTTCTCATGAATTACTGCAACAATAGAAAAATGTGAAGGCATCCTATTTCCTTTCATTCATGATGGGGTTCCCACCAGGAGAGAAAGAGGTGGGAGAGGGAAGGAAGGACATGTATGACCATACATGTGTGGCCAGATTCCGCTGATGATAAGTGACACATTCAAGAAATTTAATACAAGATTACATGGAATGATATTCAAGTAAATTCTAATGCATATCCAAGATGGGAATAGTATGAGAGGTTCCTATGTTTAATTAGTACGGTTATTTGTCTTATTATTTTTAATTTGGCATCTAGATTTTTGGGTTTGAATTAGATGTTTATTTAAGAGAAGGATGAAACCAAAGGCATCCACATGGGAGCAAAGGAGGGTAATTTGAGATTTTAATGAAGTCTTTCTGATTTGGAGGCCATTTAAGCCAATAAATAAATAAAAAAAGCAGCACTGCACCATTGTGATGGAAGCCCCGCCCTTTTGTAGGTGCATCTTGATGTCACATGTACAAAAGGCATAGGGCTTGAATCCAATAGCATGAAACTGCTTTCATGATTTTAACCAAAGCCGTCAGTTCCTGCAGATGCCTCTGCATAAAATGTGAATAATGCAATGAATGGTGCAGCGTAGGTATGTCTAGTCTAAACTTCATCCCATTCTTTTCACTGGAGGCCTATTTAGGTAAGGAAGTAAAGGACTACAGCCTAAATGATATTAAGGAGAGAGAGTATCACTAAACTTCCCTTCAAAGTGTGGAATCTTGAGTTATCTAATCTCATTTCTGAAAGTAGAACTGATCTTCCAGCTTTGCTTCTTTCCAGTTTACCCTCAGTTTACAAACAGCAATTTGTCCATTAATAAAATACTGCAGCATGAATTTCACTATGTCTAATGAGGCTATAATAATTCTTAGGGTTAGGGAACCTAGTCAAATAAATGACTTCTGATGCCCTTCCAGCTCCACAGAGAAGAGGCTCCCTGAAATGAGACTAAGTCAGTGAATCAAGTCTAAACATGATTACATCTGGATATCATCTTGTGATTCTAAGCTGGGTTTACACAACATATTTAACCAGGTAGTTGAAGACTTAGTGGCTGCATTCATACAACATGCTAAGCTTGATCAATTTTAACCTTGGTTAATATTGTGTGTTTGTGTGGCTTGGCATATTGTGTGAACCAAACCTGTTAGTTTATTATTCACAGGCTAAGAGTCTTGCTGTGGAAAGTTTTACCAGTGCATTGGAATGAATGTGGAAGAAAATGCGATGGCAATCCCACAGAAGATCATCTTCAAAGTTCTTTTTTTTCCAGGGGACTTTTTCCTTCTTGTCAATATGTAAATGCAGAGGAAAGAAGATGCAAATCTTCAGGAGGGCAAGTTCTGCTTATGGAATCAGGTTTAGAAATTTTGAAGAGGGGGAAGAGTAAATATTCTGGGCAATAAAGAACCAAAACAGAAGCAGTATATTCTTGACCCAGGGAACTTGGAGACTAACAGATGAACCTCCTGGCAATTTCTCAGATAGAAGAGCCCCAGCCTATAGTATACTCTCTGCACTGTCTCAGTTCCACAAAAGATGAGCAGAGAATGATACTGGCTCTCTGCCAGTTTCTGTGCCTTTTACCAAACTTGCAGGGCCAGCCCCTCCTTTAGGCAGAGGGTTGTAGATGCCTCAAACACCAAATAAGAGGAGGAATGGGCAACTGTGTGGATGACAAGCCTACCTGTGCCACCCAAACTGATCACTGCTCCTTCAGCCATCCTGAAGCCCTCAAGTGAAGGGAGAATGCTTCCCTGTTCCCAGTGTTGAAAGAAGTCTCCAGTCACTATGGAAGTGGGAGCATAGATCTGACCTTTGCCTCCAAAAGGAAATTCCCCTAACCTGGACCTGCAGAACGTCTGGCTGCTTTACTATGCCTCCTCCTCTCCTCCAGCCATAGCAGGTATTATTAGAAAACCTTCTCTAAGGTCTAACGCAGGTTAATTCACACAGGAAGGGAAGCTAACCAGAAACTCTCCCTTTGAGATTCTTCAAGAAAGGTTCAGAATGGTGTCAATACAGTATATCTTCACATAGGGTCAATGGCCCTGTTATGATTGTTATCATCATTGGCCTTAATAACAAACTTGTCTTGGGCCACTCATGTATTCTTGTATTGTTTGTTCCACTTTTCATTGACCGCACATAATGTCAGCATGCAGCTGCTCGATCCTAGCTGTCAAAGGCAACTGCCTGTTTGAACATAGTAACCTTTTTAGAGACCTGATCTTTGGATTGGCTGGGCTAACCAATTTGATATGATACTTCAACTGGCATTTTAAAAGGGATTGCGGAGCAGTAAGACTATTGAGTAATTTAAAAGGTCAGAATAATAGACTGTCTGCTTTCTTTCAGAGCAGCAATTTGCAAGAAGAGACAAAAGAATAGAGAGAATACAGGCTTTGCATGCATAAGTGCTCAGCTCCGTTCTCTAACAGCTCCATATTTACGGATGCTGTTGAAATGCAGTGAATTCATTCATTCCTATCACTTTCTCTGGTTCATCTCTCACTGACCTTTTTAAACTAGTGTGGATAAAGCCACCAGTCATAGAACTGGCAATGTGAATTTTGCCCAGCAGATGCACGGTCTAGCAATTGAAGCATGTGGATTGACTCTACAAAATTTTAAATAAGATGCGGTATTATTTCTTCAGATTCTGTAAAGTGAAGTAAGATGTTTTCCTTGTTATTTCATACCCTTTGATACAGTTTTCCTGACCTGTGCACATTCCAAAATGCAAAGGACCTGGCTTTTGGGTTAGGCACACATTGCAGAAAGCCTGTTTTCAAATGGATGACCACTCACTGTCTTATGTTTGCTATGTAAAAAAGCAGTCCTTCTTTGATGTTGATAGCTCTGTTACAGAGTCAAACCATCCTTTATTTACTATTCCAGATACCTATTAAAACTATTTCTATATTCCCTGACATACAGCAGATTCCCAAGTCATGTACAGAATACTGTAAATACATTAAATATAGTACAAAATATGATAATGGCTGTAATAATACAGCAACAGTCCCATGAGCTTATTATTATTTATTTTTATTTATCAAATGAATACCCTTCCTTTCTGATTATGTAAGTACTTCATTAATTAGAACAAAAGTACACATTTCTTATTTTCAGAGAGTTTTCAAAAAGCTCTCAAATAGCAACACAAATGAATATGTTTTCCGCATGTTCCAAAGCTGTATAAAATAAAGTGAATGCTTTGCTTCGTGGAGTACCACAATAGAAAGTATTGTCTTCCTGGTTGGCTGTGGTAGCCAGCTGAAGCTAAATGGGAAACGGCTATTCTGGTACCAGCTTGTTTAGGAATTGGTAAATAAGAATGTAAACTTGGCCTTGCTGGATCGGACTCCTGGCCCATCTCGTCCAGCAGTCTTCTCACAGTGGCCACCCAACTGTGCAAAGAAGCTGATTAATCTCCCAGCAGATGACCTTCAGAGGCAGTCATGCTGCCATCAAGGCTAATAGCCGTTAATCCCCATGACTTCCATGGATTGCTCCACCCCTTTTTGAAATCGGCCAAGCGGATAGCCAGCACCACATCTCATGGCAGGTTAAGAATAAGGCCAGTTCACCAGCAACGAACTGTCACCAAATCAGCAACAGTTCTTTCAGCAATGTTACAAGACTGGGAAACTACAGTCCCTATACTAGCACGTGGAGAACAGATGGCAACAGTTGCTCAGCACAGATCTACATCTTGTAAATAAAACCACAACATTACCAGTCTGCCCTGTTTGTTTGTTTGTTTCCAACCTGATAGAACCTCCACTCCTCCTCCAGCAGCCCTCTAAATTTTGTGCTGAGTATGGAGGGGAAACCAGTCTGCTTGGTTTCTGTACTAGATAATAAGGAAGAATAAAGCACCCCAGTCCTTCCATGGCTGTTTACTCAGTACTCAGATGCCCTGCACTCATCTGCATGCAACTCCTTATCCACCAGGCGAATTCTTATCCATCTTGGGCCCCAACATTAATACCGATAAGAATTCACCCATTTGGGGGCAAAAAAAGAAAAGAGAAGAAAATCCAATCAGCAAGCCTTAGGATCTTCAACTATTGGCTCCAAATTTTTCAAATTGCTGATCAAAGCTGTCCCTCTGTACTTTGTGGCAATTTTCCCCAATTTGGATGATGCCTGGTGCAATCTCAGGTACTGTTTTCTGAAAGAAAATCTATTTTGTATATTTATTGAAGTGTAGATACATCACTAAACATTCCATAGCTGTTTGAAAATCCTGGTACAACTGGAGTTCTGAGAGATAGTGAGGAGGCTGGAAGAATAATGGAAGGAAAGTTAGACATCAAGAGATAGGAAGATAGTCCATTGCTGGCTTATTGCATAAATGGCAACTATGTCCAGGTGGCAAGAAACCTGGAAAAAATTATTCAAAATATTCCAAGAGTTTCCACCTTATTGAAATTACTAATAAGTGAGAGTTGGAAATTCCTTTGCAATTTCCAGAATTCTGTATTCACCTTAATTCAGACACCTTATTGAAGTCTGTAAAGATAGACAGACAGATACAGGTAGTCTTCAGGCTACGACCACTCATTCAGCAACCATCCAAGGTTATGACGGTGCTGAACGAGGGGGCTTTCAACCAGTCCTCAGAATTCTGGCAATCGCAGCATCCCCAGGGTCATGTGATTGCTTTCAGTGCCTGGCTTGTGATTATGATGTCACAGCGAGCCAAGGTCACGTGATTGTGATTTCCAGTGTTTCCTGCCAGCTTCTTACAGGCAAAGTCAATGGGGAAGCTGACAGGAAGTTGGAAGTTGGTCCTGATCCCACTGCTTTTTTGCCTGCCCACAGAACCTGTGCACCTGCCCAAGCTCCATAGTGCCCGCCTGTGGCATCCGCACACCCATTGGCCTGCTTGCCTGGGACTCCCACCTCTTCCCACTTTGCAACCCATGCAGTCCTGGGGTTATGACGGCAACCAGGACTGCTGGGATTGCAGTCGATAAGCAATGCAGTCACGTGACATTGTGCTTTACAACTGCATCACTTAGTGATGGAAATTCCAGTCCCAATTGCCATTGTAACCCAAGGACTACCCGTGTAGGGATAGATCCATATCCTTCATTTTCATTTAAAAAAAAAAAAAGACTTGTATGCAGATTAAATGCATTTACTGTATAAGGTATGGAAATGCCCTAAGCTTGTTTCGGAAAGAACAGTCTGAAAATTTAGATAAAAATCTATAAATCTTGCCTTTTATCTGTACAAAAGTCCTGAAAGCATATTGAAGCCAACACTGAAAAGAATCTCATTGACTTATGTAGTGGTGGTACTGCATTCATAAATTAAATTCTCTGGAACAGAAAGAGAATTTAATGTCCATTTGCAAAGGTCTGTGTGAGTTTATGGTGCTCTCTCTAATAAAACACTCCCCCAATTCATCCTTTCCAAACCGTTCTTGCTCAGAATTCCTGGGCATGTACAGTAAATGGATTTTTTTCTCATGAGTATAAAATTAGGAGTTCCAAAGGGAGCTCAGATTCCTCTAATGCATTTATTATAATAACATTTCTGCATATAATTTACCAATGCAATTTCGATCTTTCTAAATTAGGTGTGTGAAATACATGCATTTCAGCCTTACCTATGGATTCCCCACTGATTCTAATCTTTCCCAAATGAATTTTAAAAAATAAAGATTATATTAAGGTAAAGAGGTAAATGCAATTAATTTAAATGTGCTTTTAACAGTCACCATTATCATTATACATTATGATGCAGTGCTAACAGCCCTCCTCATAAAGTAAATCTCTTCAATGAGTATAATTCCAATTTTACAATATCTGCTTATTTTAAAAATGTGCAAAAACCATTTACAGTAATTTGGGGGCCTTGGAAAGAGATCCATTCAATATGGGCAGTTCTAAAGTTAATCTGATTTAACTTCCTCCTCAGATTTATAGCATGATTTGGAAAAATGAAGCTCCACTCTCCATAACCCTGGATTGTATATACATTCTTTGGCAAGAAAATGTGATAAAATTTGCAGTGATAGTAGATCCTAGGACCCGAAACACCAAGATTAAATTTCAAGCAGATCCCTGAGGAGGGAAGGGGAAAGGAGTTTTGTAAGGAATACTGATGTCTTTTCCCAAATCACTGCAGCTGTTTGCTGGATCTGAGTTGCAAATGATAGGCATTTGTTCTCTAGCACACTTTTCTATTTATTCTTATTGGATATGATGCCGTTAAAATAGTGATGCCCCCAGAGTTTTTGAATTAGACTAGTGCCCAGAGTAGGTTGCAGACGAGTTTATATTATTTATTCACATGACATCCCACAACCACAGATTGGAAAAATGAGGCAGAACCACATAGAGCAAATGGCAAGACAAGGGATCTCTCCATCCTCCAAGACATTGTATTAGGGTAATCTGCTGTGGTTTGATGATAAGGGTGTCTCTGATATGGGGGCAGAAAGCCAATAGCTGAGATCTAGGAACACCCCCCACCCCATTTCTTTCTTTCTCTACCATGACAGTTTCTGTAGAACACAACCGCTTCTTTCGTAAAAGTCACCTTTCATTAGGTCAAAGTATCTACAGCTACTTCAGGCAAGAACCAAGAGATGAAGTGAATCTTTAATACAAATAAGTACCCAATACCATACATATCCTATGGGCAATACTTGGGTACTTATTCCTGCAAAAAACAGAAGTTCAGCTCACTGAATTAACTGTTTTAATAACTGGTTATTGGCCCTGTTTCTCTCTTGGGCAATAACCAGCATTTTGCTGGAGAAGCAAAATACAAGGTAATGCTGCCCTTTTGAGCTATAAAGCAAAGCTCACTGGATTGATAATAACTTCTTCAATGCTGGTGATGATCTAGCATCATCCGATGCAGTACATAATGACAGAATAGTTTAGAATGTCCTCAAGGCAGACAGCTACATCTAGCCCACAAAACTCTTGTCTGCCCTCCCCAAAGCCCTTCTAAATGTTCTCATCGAGCAGGAATTTTTAGCATGATCGAATTCTTAAATACATACACAGTAATCCTATTAACAGGATTAGTTCGTTTAAAAGTGAACTCAATCGTATCCAAGTTGGGTTTTTTCCAACTTTTTGCCCACATATTTATCCCAACTCTGTTTACTATTTGGAGTGCAGACCCAGGCTTGCCACTCAACAGCCAATTCTGGTCCTCAGCACAAAAAAAAGTTATGCATCCTGACTTAAGGACTCTAAGGACAGGTCACATTAGACAGAGTTCAGCTCCCACTGCTGCTTCCCTAATTCTGGCAGCTGCCTCACCCATACTAAGTGATAGGCCCAGAAATATAATTAATCTATCAGTAATGGTGGATTTTGATCTTTGTAGCCCATATACTTCTGCATTTCAGGGGCAACCACGAGGAAGGCAAAAAAGTAAAAGATAGCAGGCACATGAAAAAGGGGTGGGCCTTCCATCACACAGTCACAACCTCCGTCTGCTTTAGCCATTCCATTTCTCTCTGAATATTTGAATACCAAGTGAGGAACTTTTCTCTTCCTCCCCTACCCTCCCCAAAAAACATGACTTCTTCTACATTTTATTTTAGGTTCTGTGGAAGATACCATACTCTTTTCCCTCAACAGGAGTTTTACATGAAATAAAGTTAAGGGTAAAATTGGACATAATTGAGATATTTTGCTAGTTTTACCCAATTTCATATTATAGTTTTGCTCTTTGGGGCGTATCTCAGATACACCACAACATCTATCCTAAACAGGAATGTTCAAGTACTCCTCAAATAATTAGCACTAACCCATTCACAGTGCTTAGTTGCTGTTCCCTTGTCTTTTAATCTGTGCTTCTGACATACCCTATTGTGAAAATCCCATCCAATTCCCACTCCCTTAAAACTTAATTGTAAAAACAATACAGCAATGCTGTTTTAATTATAAATGCTATTCCTAAAATCCTGAGCTGGATATTAATAGTGATAAAGGGATCTCATTCAGTAATCCCAAGGCAGTTCTTCTAATGAATTCTAATCTTGCACCCATAAAATGAATACTGCATGCAGTGTCGTTGACAGATCTAACAGCATTGGGATTGGGGTTCATAACACACCCATTCTCTAGCACAGTGTTTCTCAACCTTGGCAACTTGAAGATGTGTGGACTTCAACTCCCAGAATTCCCCCCTCCCCACATCTTCAAAAAGCCCAGGTTGTGAAAAACTGCCCTCACAACTCAATTCCTAAAACAATTTCAAAAAGAATAGCAGCAACTGAAGCTGACAACAATTAGTTACACCAAGCCAAAACAGATCACTGGCAAAATGATTGATGAAACTCATTAAATGCAGGTTCATAATGCCAGCACCCCTCCCCCCAAATT